ATTTAACTTTAACATAATAAAAACTAATATACAACACATAGCTAATATTTTACCAATTATATTTTCATTTTAAATATTTACAATCGAATTTCTACACCTACAAAAAAAAAACAAAACGTTTGCAACCTAAATTCTACATAAATAAAATCTTCTACAGTGACAACCGAACTAATCCTCCACTTTGTTTTTGTTTTTGGGTTTGGTGTAGAATATGTTCATGAGATATACGTTGGACTCGATCTTTAAAGTTGGGTTTGGTGTGGAGTTGGGATGTTTGGATGAGTTTAGCAAAGAAGGAGAAGAGTTTACGAAGGCTTTTGATGATGCTAATTTTGCGACTAGTTCTAGATTTTTTGATCCGCTTTGGAAGCTGAAATGGTTTCTTAATATCGGATCACAATCTAGACTTCAGAAGAGTGTTGCTACTATAGACAAGTTTGTCTACGGTCTCATTACCACTAAAAGGAAAGAGCTTGCCACGGGACAGAACATTGTGAGTGTTCTCTAAAATTTTCTCTCTTTTTTTATTGCGTATAGTTACCGGTTTTACATCTTTCTAACAATGTTTAACGTTGTCTCTATAGGCTGTTAGAGAGGACATACTAACGAGATTTGTAGTGGAAAGTGAGAAAGATCCGGAGAACATGACTGATAAGTACCTGAGGGATATAATCTTGAACTTCATGATTGCTGGGAAGGACACAACCGCTGCAACTCTCTCTTGGTTCTTTTACATGCTCTGCAAACACCCACTTGTTCAGGAGAAAATCGTACAAGAAATTAGAGATGTGACATCAAGCAACGAGAAAACAACCGATGTAGATGAATTTGTTCAAACTATAACCGAAGAGGCTCTTAATGGAATGCAATATCTCCATGCAGCATTGTCTGAGACATTGAGGCTTTACCCTCCTGTGCCTGTGGTAAGATAACAAATCTTTAAAAGATTTTTCTATGATTTGACGTTTTCAGAGCTAAGGGAAATGGACTTGGATTTACGATTTTCATAACCTTTCCTTGGTCTTTCTGAAGGACACCAAGGTGGCAGGAAGTGATGACATTCTTCCAGATGGATATAGAGTGAGCAAAGGGGATAGTGTCTCCTACTTGGGCTATGCAATGGGTAGGATGACTTACATTTGGGGTGAAGATGCTGAGGAATTTAAGCCAGAGAGATGGCTTAAGGACGGCGTGTTTCAACCCGAATCATCCTTCAAATTCGTTAGCTTTCATGTAAGTACACTCTCTTGCAGATAAACTACAAGTAATGCATTCCTTTTTTTTTTCTTCCTCTAAATACATGACATGACATGTTTTCGTTCTTCGATTGTGTATGTAGGCTGGTCCAAGAACCTGTCTTGGCAAGGATTTCGCATACCGACAAATGAAGATAATATCAATCTCACTTCTTCACTTCTTCCGCTTCAAACTGGCTGAGAACGCCAAAGTGCATTACAAGACAATGCTTACACTTCATATGAAAAATGGACTCCATCTATGTGTAACCCCGAGGACGACCGCTTCATTTTGACTACAATATCAAAGGAGGACTCCATCTATGTGCAACGCATTTTGTTATTTGCAGAATTTTATTTTCTGAATTGTGTCGAACACAACACACTGTGTTCATGCATCAATAATTTCCTTTATCATGTTTTCTTTTTCTTTTAATGTTTTTACCGAGTCGTTTAGTATAATTACTGTCGTCATCGAGTCATTGTTCATTAATCTTTGTTTTGATAAATCAATAAAAAACCAATGAAGAGGAAATTCAAATTTTCCAAAGAGTTTTTTTTGTACAAAGCCTTATAACCCTAGCTGTAATCGAAATCTCTTAAAGTACGACTAAACCTAAGTTTGTTTGTAAGTTTTCCTGGGGTGCATGCATGCAACCTAACTTTCTATCTAAGCTTCGGCTCTCCATCAATACTTGCCATACTTTTATCGTGCCTGCTTCATGTAACCCAAAACGTTATGTTGCTTGAAATTCTCACAGAAACAGTGTGTGAAAGTTGAGCCGAGCATGAACGAGTTTGGGTCAAAGATCCTAAAGAAAGAAGGCAACAAACATCCTAGATGGCCACTATCACAAAATTTCGAGTAACGAAGTTAATTCCGAAGAATGGGATAACAAACGTATAATTTTACAGCCAGCTAGTACAAAAAAAAGCACAAAGTCACACTACAAAAAATGAGTTCATCATCTTATTGCATGATCACGGTGGGAATCTGAGAACCTGGTCTTGAGGCCCATCCCTTGCGAGATCTGTAAGCTTCAATGGCCTCTAAACGCTGCCTCTCCTGCGAAGCACTCATAGTAGACTTTCGTGCCTGCCAAATAAACATATAACCATTTGAATCAATAACATAACAGATTATCTTACAGTTAGAAACTATAGTGAGACTATACCTTTGGAACAACAGCTAACTTTGGTGGAGCTTGCACTACATCGCCAAATCTTATCTGTTCATGGTTCGGGAAGTTTTCTCGGAGGGTATCTTCAGTCTTTCCTTTATTCTTTTTTTGCTTCTTGGCCTCCCAATACCTGCATTAAAGTAGACAAATATCGATCTACTCATTAAACTCAAATATAACTTGAAGGATCTCGGCCTTTAAGAGACTGAAAACTAGAAGCAGAAAGCTTTATAAGTATTAAAAGTTGATAGAGGAAAAAGAACTGAACAATAAGCTTACTTCTTCTTGCGTTCTTTCCTTTTTGACCGACCATCCAACTCCATAAGTTCCTTTTCGAAACGAAGGTCGGTTACTTGAT